GAAAACGTCCGATAAATTCCACACTTTATCGCGACGCTCCGAACGCAGCACTACCTCATACATATACCCGCATCGTTGGTTCGCTCTGCTCGTTTGCGCTCAAAAAAGCGCTTCTCGTTGTATAAGTTTATAACATATACACACACACGCACAAATGCATCCAATACACACGTAAAAAATATTATGTATGTATATGTACGTGAATAACATACGTTTAATATGTGTAATATGCGCATGTGGATAAAATAAAAGTAAAAGACAGTGACAGAGAAGAGGAAGGAACGCAGTAGCTTATATTTTATGCGGGAGAGAGAGAAGAAACTTGAAAGAACCGAGTTGGTGCCCAAGAGCGTTTTCTCCTTGGGGCCTCTTTATACCCATACAGATTCACACTGTACGCTTTATATACGTATACATTACAAGTCTAGTACAACATATATATACGAGAGTAGACGACTGTGCTATACATATGTATACACTTTGGCTTTGCTGTGTCATGAGAGTGCCTGTAAGCTGTTGTGTGTATATACATATATGTATAAAATGTACGGCACAGCACAGCAAGTTGGCCATCCCGACGCAAGTCGGCGCTGCTGCGGCGTTTGTTCGGTCCGTTTGGTGCTCACGCACGCGAGTCCCCTTTCGAAAATAACACACGGCCGGTTGACGTCATCCTCAAGAACTGCTGCTGCTACCGTCGTCGTCTTCGTCGTTGTCTTTGCTTCTCTCTTTTTCCTTGCTTCGCTATCTCACATCGCGTAGTCAACACCGGCTGCGTCGAAGACACCAACTCTTTCTGTTGTTAAACATTTTTTTTTTTTTTTTTTTTCAGCTGACTCGGAGATTTTTTTTTCAGTCCAACTACAGCGTTGAACAAAGGACTAACTGGGGGTTGATGATTTTGTGGGGGAAAAAGTTGGCTCTTCCCGATAAACCCAATGAACTCCATCCGTCACTTGCTCGTGCGGTCCAAATCGATATGATCGGGAGTTGGCGACGCACACGCGTGACACGGAAAAATAAGTTTGTACAGGTGTTCCCATGTACTTGTATGAAACTCAACCGAAGCATGTCTCCCTGTCTTGGACAAAAATCACCGAAATCCATCGTAATATTGGAGTGTACTCTCGTATCGCAATTATCGCCGTGTGGGTGTCGTATAGATATACTTGCACGGAGAAAGAGACCGAGGTATATACGAAACACACGCGATAAGAAGCATATACGAATCAGATAACGAAGTTGCTTGTCTTTTGTAACATTTTTGTATCTCTCGACTGCGTCTATCGTCGCGAGTTTCACGCGCATGTATGTTTAATATTTTACACGGATCTATTAATACATGGTGCGTCTAAAAATAAATACTGTACTCGTTGAAAATAGATCTCAAAAAGATACGTAGTATAGATTACATCGTGTCGTGGTCGATGAGCTTTGTTTATCCGCCAATGATTCGGGATATGCGTGCGAAATCCGGTGGATAGGTATAGTTGGGATGAACCGTATTCGATATGCCCTTATGCATCCGCGGAAATCGCAATTTTCTTCAGCTTGAAACTACACTGAGTGAAAAAAAACAGTAACAATTACTCGGCTAGAATGGTAACCTGGTACTGTTCAGTCATCCAAAGATTTTTCACTGTTTAAACAATAATTTTTTAAATTTAGAACAGTACATTTTTGTTGTTAACATGAAGATATTTACTGTTTGATTACAATAGAAACTACTGTCCATGGTAAAAATTAGGTCGGCCAAAGTAAAAAGTCCCTAGACTCTCACCCTGCGAACGTATCAACCCCCAGTACGAGTCGATCTGAAATATACAGTGACATCATCCATAATCGTATCAACGAATTTCAAGGCCACACACACTCGTCGCGAGTGACAGTGACAACGAAAGACCAATAAAAAAATTTCCCTCGTGTCGTTGCCTCGGTCAAAAATTTTACAATCCGAGCTACAGTAAAACTGCCACGTGAGTAAAAAGAGCCTGCTTGCACTCATTCATAATGTTGCGGTAGTAAACAAGCCCGATTAGAACGGGGGAGACACACAGCAAGCTCGCGCGAATTAGCCTGCGCCAAGCTCTATAGCAGCTCGAATGTCAGGTTTGTTTATCTTTCCCGGCCGACGACGAGGTAATAACATTTTAACAAGTGATCGTTGAACTCCGGTGCGCCTCGTCCGCTTGTGTGGGTTTGTACAACGAAATGACACGCGAGGCTTAGACTGACCACGTTGTCGAACGCTAAACGACAACCGCAACGTGTCATCGTACGAAAAGCTTTTGGCGACCGAAGATTCATTTGGCTTTCATTCAGTGAGGGACATATGGATCCTTGGAATGTGGCGAGCTTTTTTTTTTTTTTTTATCTAACGAACGAACAAAATGAGAAAAATCCCGTAGGAAAATAAGTACGAGGGAAAGTACGGGAAAGTGCGAGCAAACAATATACATACGAACTAACGAATAAGATATTCTGAAATCATAATGATATTTTAAAGTACAATACACGAAAGAGCTATATTATGATAGCTGTAAGAAGTATTGATAAATGAAATCTACGAAAAATTTTAATAATTACAAGAGGTATAAGATAATACAAGCTATGATATATTTACGCTGTGATGGTTATGAGAGGTATAACAAAGTAAAGCCTATGAAGAAGTTACATTAATAAGGTTGTGATATGATATAACGCAGTGCAACCTCTACAAATGATACTCAGTTAAAGTTATAAGAGGTATAAAAAAGTGTAACTATCGAATAAGCTATTCTGTAGTTATGGTGATATTACAGTGACAATACATGGAAGAGCCATGTTATGATAGTTGTATGAGGTATTGGTAAATGAAATCCACAGAAAAATCAGATTGTGATAATTACAAGAGGCATGAGAAAGTACAACCTATGTTACATTGACGCTGTGATAGTTATGAGAAATATAACAAAGTGAAACCTTCGAAGAAGTTAGATTGTTAAAGTTGTGAGAGATATAACGTAGTGTAACCTATAAAAATAATATAATGTTAAAGTTGTAAGAGGTATAAAAAAGTGTAACTAACGAATAAGGTATTCTGAAATCATAATGAAATTTCAAAGAACAATACACGAAAGAGGTATATTATGATAGCTGTAAGAAGTATTGATAAATTAAATCTACGAAAAATTTTAATAATTACAAGAGGTATAAGAAAATACAAGCTATGATATATTTACGCTGTGATGGTTGTAAGAGGTATAAAAAAGTAAAGCCTATGAAGAAGTTACATTAATAAGGTTGTGATATGATATACGCAGTGCAACCTCTACAAATGATACTCAGTTAAAGTTATAAGAGGTATAAAAAAGTGTAACTAACGAATAAGATATTTTGGAATAATGGTGATGTTACATTCCCTTTATATACCTCAGTGTTAAAGTCTCTAAACTTTGGAATCAATAAATTAGGTGTGCTAAAATTTTTAGATGAAGTCAATAATAACATAGACGACGATATGAATTAAGTTCACTGTAATCGTGTAAGTGTTGACTTCGTGTGAGATGTACTATAAACATGTAATAAAGGCGAATAAAGAGGAAACTTTCAATGTATGTAAAGCCAAACGCGCAGTAAGTAAAATGGTAAGTGTCGCTTAAGCATAATGCACGCATACGCTAAGTATTGCGTCCATCAGCCACACACACGCGCGAGCGACTTGAAATCAAATTCGTTATCATTTTCCCTATCTTTAAATATTTTTCTCCCTCTTTCTCTCTCTTTTTTTTTTAACTTCTACACGTCAACGAGAACACGTGTGCACACGCACACACACAACGTTCGTTGTTTTTATTAATCCCCACTCTCACAATGTCTTCGTGCAAGTTAGTACAGACGGTACCGTCAGAAAACATTTCTTAGCGCACCTCCCGCGGATCTGCAATGTTGGCTTGAATCTTGCATCTACCGATTCTCGACTCATTTCAATTTTGGACAATATTTTTTCAACCTCGTTTTCGTTGTGAATCCCCCCAATGTTAATAATTAGGATGAAATATTAATTTTAAAGATATGGGTGTGGGCTACGTTTAATAAACGATGCTCATTTGCCGCTTAAAAGCTAAAGTAAAACGGAAAAATTATTCATTTTTAACAAAATGACATCAAAATCAATACGATTCAGTGGAATATTTTTGTTTTTGATTCCTTATCGATGATAAAATGTGGAAACATATAATGTCGTACTGGGGGGGGGGGGGAAACATGTATATCTCGGCATAATAAGATGGAAAAAAAAATTAACAATTTCTCGGTAAAAATTATATATTCCGGTAGGAAAAAATTACCGAGACGTGAATCGCCGGTCAGAATGATAAAATAATCGACGAGTAAGAGTACCGATCACCGAGCAATACTCGCGTTATCAAGCGCAGAACAGCGGCAGAGCCAGCAACAGTGCAAGCCTGCTGCCGCCGTAAAGTCGAGCCAGCAGAGCTGTTCCCGCCGCACGAGTTGGTATATCTGTATAGCTGGTGAGCAGCGTTCGAGCGAACGTACAGCCAGTCAGGCAGAGAGTCGAGGCTGTATATACGCTGCGAGGGGGTGGAGGAAGGGAGAGCTCGTCAGCTCAGCCAGCCTTTAACGGGTTGCTACACACATAGTCATGCGGGCTGCACGTGGGTGTGTGCGGCTCAGGGCAGCAATCACCTCAGCTGGCTCCATCTGGTGGAGTGCTTCGGGGATTCCCCGATTTCTCTCTCGCTCTCACGTTCAGCGTGGCGACTCCGAAACTCCAAACGCTAGAATTTCCACAGCAAGCATCGAGCGGGACGCAAGGGAAAGAGGGGGGCACGAAGTATAACTATAGTTACGATGAGCGAGGGGAGCAGCCCACATTGGAGCAACGAGGGGAATCGGGGCAAGGAGCGAGAGGGGGAAGAGAGAGAGAGAGAGAGAGAGTGCCGCCGCTGGCGCAGCTGCGCGCCGAAGGCAGCAGCGTACAGCAGCATAGAGGAACAGTGAGCAGCAGAGCGGAGTCAGTCGGTGTTATGCCGTTGCGATAGTTTGAGTCGCTATATCAAGAACGTATACGTCTACAATAAGTAGCCCAAGTCTGTGCTTCTATACTATCCCCGTATATATTAAACCATCGTATCGTGCATTTTACAAAAGTGTATATGCAAAAATGATATTTGATAAAAAACTATCATTATCATCATTATAATATGTTTTTAAACTGATAAGTGGACAGTGTAGATCCTATCGTTGGAAGTGCCGTTGTTTTTTTTTATTATGTTCTTGTGTGATCGCAGTGTGTCTAACGCATTAATGTAATGATAAATTAATATATTACACATTTATACATAGACAAGGCACCAGTGCATAAAATAATAAAATTTTGGACTTTCATATGAAAAGTGTATTTACGATGCAAAAATTCGCTGGTTAAATGCACGTCTGTGGTGCGAGTGGACATCAGAGTAATGTAAGTGTGCTGGCTCGAGTACTTTCACCAGGGAGGTGAGTGAGCAGCAGAAGTATCAGGACAGTGCACTACCCCGTTGTATATGTACGTCAGTGATATCAATAGTGGTGCAAACTGTTGACCCACCGTCCACCCCTCAGCCCACACCCCCTTCCTTACTCAGTGCTGTACGCTACAGTTTACTGTAGAGACTACCTCGTGCGTGCTTCGCAATCGTATACCGAGTGATCTCGCGTTTGATGATACAACTGTGAGTTCAGTGTGCACGAGAAAGGGATCGCAAGCCCGAGTACTTGGTACTTGCAACAGTTATTTAATAAATAGCAAGGAAAACAGTGCTCCGAGCGTGCACGAGGATTTAACAAAAAAAGTATCAGCGACAAGAAATATAGCACCCAACTCGCGGCAGCCGCGCGCTCGCGGCGCCCGAGGGCCGCCTATCGAAGAGATGGTCGTTGCCCAATGTCTCCAGACCGAGCGCTGTTCGGAGATCTCCAGCTCCCCGTGCTTCGTGAGTTCCTCCACGCAATATCACGTGCGTGAAATTCAGTTTTTTTCCATCCTGCCTACACCTGCAACTTGTATGTTATACTTTATGAGATACTACATAGGTATCTTCATTCACCCTCTATTCAACCCCATTCGTATAGACACCCCCAAATTTCTTTTGTACTCTGTGTGTGTGTGTGTGTGTCTATTTTTTTATTATCGTCGAGTTTAACTGATAGGTATACTATAGTTTGCGAGGAAAGATTTTACGGATAGTGTTGAAAATTTAATTTCACGTGTAGAAAGTTTTGATGATGTTGCGTTGTTCGAGTTCGATGAGACGTAAAGTTATACGGGCTTGAGTTATGATTTTTTTTATGGTGAATTCTTTAATGTTTGGTTTGTAGTTAATGTTGTACTTATGGTTTTTGAATATAAATTGTCCTTTTTAATGTTTTAACAAAGACCTTTGACAAAAGTTACCTCTAGCTGTGATGTCAACGTAGTTGTGTTTGTGCTGACGTAGCTACATTTTTTCATACGATACAAATACACTTTTTTGTATCGGTAACATAAACTTTTATATTTTTTCATGTAAAAACGAACGATTTGAGAGTAAAGTAAGCTTTATTCATGTTGAATATAATTTTTTTTTAGAATTCAATGTTGAAAAAGCAGTTTCTTGATAAAACCTGTGGTGAACCCGCAATCTAAATTATTTTTTGTTTCGTAAGGTAGTCTTTCTTGCGCACGGCAACATCCGTAAAACGATTCCAACATTTAACACTTTAAAAATGGCAAATACTAAAATTTAATGGTTTTGCTAGTTTGTAATTTAGAAACTTAACAGTTCTACAAAACTCAGTGAGCACTAAGATTCAAAAGAAAGTCTTGAACTTTGAAAACAGAAATAAAATATTTTTCAACAACGTACGTAATTTCTGTACTTTCAACAATTTTTTATTTACCGCATCAGAGGTGGTGGCATGAACGCTCTTTTATTATTTCAAATTATATAAACGTAAGTGTATTATATAAAATTATCATCGTCAAAGTTATTTTGCGTTACCCAATGAATTTATCGCTCCGACTCCTCGGCGTAGTTTACTCGCAAAGTACTAGGGGGCGCTAGCGACCGGGCTACGTTCGAATTCAGAGTAACAATTTCAACTCTGAACGTATGGACGCTTTTTCACGGATATCATTTTGAAGTTATCAGTCCAGTATTTACGTTAAATCCGATGGAAATTGTTTTTCTTGAATGTTCGTCTATTCTGACACATTACCTTCGATTGCACGACACAAAGAAACTGGTTTTACCGCGCTGATTTTTGTATAATTTTTACGTTTACAAGGTACTACCAACTGTAGGAAAAAGGCTGTGAAAGTTCTCTTTTCAAATCCAACCGTGACGTAGGATACATTTACTTCTGACGTAGTCATTTAAATAATAAATAACAATTACCGCCGACATGGCGGAACGTATTACAAACAATAAAATGACGAGTAAAACATCAAATAATACACATCACATTGTATAACTCATGAAAAGACTTGTACAAACAAATCGAAGATGATCCCAGAGATCATTGCCATAACTTTTGTGCCTCTCCCTCGGCTGTTATACTTTTTTATTTCATCCACCTAATTATTTTTTATACTTATCATCCTCACAATCCCTCTTATTCTTGGTGCTCCCCACCATCTATTACCCAAAAGTCATTCTTTCCTAATTTTAATTAACTCTCTCCTCGTACACTTTCTATACATTAGTCTTTTTCCACCCCCAAAAAATGTGATCCTTAGACAAAAATAATAGATGGTGCGCATCAGTGTAGCGACTCCTGCTTTTCCTACCGAGGGTACACAGCAAAGTCCGAAGTTGAAAAAAAAAAATCGCTCAAGGTAGAAAAAATAAAATTAAACAAGATAAGATACACACGCAGAGAAAGCTACGCACGACCGGGACAAGTATAAGTATTACCGACTGACGTCATGCTCGGCAACAAGGCTGATGCCTAACTCACTGTCTTTCCATCTCTCTCTCTCTCTCTCTCTCTCTCTCTCTCTCTCTCTCTATCGCTCGTTTTCCCCGCTGACGCGCGCCGAGCCTCTGAGTCACCCACGCGTATACTCGCCCGATGAGCGGGCCCCTGGACTTATACATCTTGTCTCTTGTACAAACGTGCCCCGTGCGTTATTACTGTTTCGGGGAAAAAAGTACTCTGTACGCGTATCTTTTCTCTGATTTTGGGGAAACTTTACCTTCCGATGTCTCCTCTCTCTCTCTCTCTCTCTCTCTCTCTCTCTCTCTCTCTCTGTTTAATAAGGAGAAATCCAGATGATAATGATGACGATGATTGTAATGTAGCTGGGAGATTTGCTCTCGCGGTCGCTAGTACAATGCAGGAAGAAGGGAGGGGTAACGAGCGGTAATAGGTAATATTTCGAGTCGACGCACGGTCTATCGTAATTAGCGGAATTGCCACTGGCTCGGTTATTTGACACTTTCCCAGGGGGTCAGAGCTTTCTCTCTCTCCCTGTTGGAAATTCAATGTTGGGGTTGTACCATGTACGGGTGTGTGTAAGTATGGGAAACGTTGGCCAATGGAAATTTTACATTTCTATACCGATTATCACGCTAATTGTCAGATACGACGACGGACACTCGAGGCTTCGTTACTTGATTTTTCATTTATTTCTTTTTAATTACTCCTTATCACTGCACACTGTGCCTTAGCTGTAGAAATTTCTACCACTGTATAGTCCGGCTGCACTAGAGTGTGTGAAATTATAGAGTCAACGTGTCGCCGCAGCTCGAAGTTTCTCGCTCTGTAGACGTGGGATAGCAAGTACCGAACATTTTTTAAGCTCTCTTCAGTCAAAATATTTTTCCGTGTATAGTTGAAAAACTCAACTTAAGGACGCCTTCCGGAGTCAGTCAAAGTTGGAAATTTAAGTTCCCTTGAGTTTCTTTGTAAACTGCAATTTTTAATGGCTAGGGTGCGTATGGTTATTTCTGCATTAAAATAGTGATATATATATTACATTATAACGTTTTAACATTACCAGAAGCATTTAAATTATGACAATACAGCAATACGAATAAATAAGATTGTAATGAATTTGGACAATTAAAATATTGCATTATTTTATGATGTTGCTTTTTTGTCTTACGTGGCGTACACAAAATAGACACTAACACGTGGACAAAAATGAAATGACCCGCTTTTGTTTTTAGTAGCATAGGTAATATATATTTCACCGTAGGCATTCAAAAAACAAAAGTAAATTTTTTGTCTCACTGCGAACTAGCAAAGTTTTTTTGTACAAAAGTAGCTGCTTTCTGATACTTAAAAATTCGCCTCCTCGCGAGGAATGAGAATCATAACTTTGGTCTCCAAGAATATCCTGTGACTTATACATTAAAAATCCTCTCGATGAACCAACGGAGTGAAAAGTTGGTTCGATGTAATACGTAACCACTACCCCTCCAACCCTATTTTTTTTGTTTCGTAACTCAAGTTGAACAAATGATTAGTGTGCACACCATGGGAGCAAGCAAAGAACCCTTATAGATCTTGCATTTTATCACTCATGCCTTTGGCTTGAGCGGCAATCTGGGACATTCTTAACTTTGGCTCCCTAGGCTGTGACGTGTTGTAGTTTGTCAAAGTGACGATAAAAAATATTTAAAAATACCACAAAAAAAAGTATGCGAGACAAAAAAACTAGGCATTTAGATCCTAATGGTCGAATGAAAGCTTCCCATGGTTTCCAGGATCGAGACAAAACGTGACTGACCTCGCCTCTCCCTTTATTTTCCAGAGTTGTGCAATGATGGGTCTGCAGGCCACCTCAGGAAAACGTAAGCTCGAGGGCGGAGTTGTGGGCTGCATGGATTTCGACATGGAACTGGGCGAGAGCCCATCTAAAGTCGGCCGCGTCGAGGCGAGCTGGTGGGCCATGGACGACGGCTACAGCGCCAGTTCGCCCACGGCCTCCTACTACGACATGGAGGTTGCGGCGCCCTCCTGCCTCCAATCCAGCACCTCGTGCCAGCTCAACGGCAGCTCCGGACCGACCTTGCCCACCAACAGCGCACCCTCGCCGTCCAGCCCCGCCCAGCAATCGGCTCATAGCACGGGGCCTCAGCCTGGCACGCCACCCCACCACAACCACCACCACCACCACCAATCTCACCACCAACAGCCGACCAGTCAGCAGCACTACTATCCACGGCCCGGCACGCCCCAGGTCTACACGACGCCGACCCAGCCGAGCCCCCAGCAGCAGCAAGTGACGCAGCAACAGCTCTCGAGGTCCCAGCAACAGCCCGGCCAGTGGGGCCACCACGCGGCGGCCCCCCACCATTACGAGCCGCCCACGATACGCAGGGAGGAGAACGGCAAGAGCTACCTCGAGCTGGGCTCGAGCTACCGGGCGAACGAGCGCTGCTGCGAGGGCTCGCGCTCGAGCTGGTGTAGACGCGGCCGGGCCTGCTACAGGCAGCGACGCAACGCCGTCTGGAGCATCTCGATGGTGAAGCTCTCGAGGTTCCGGCAGTTCCCCGACCCAAGCCTCCACCGCTCGGTCCTCATCTGCAACACCCTGAGGTACCTCGAGCGCGAGATGGAGCGCGACCGCAGTCCCCCGCCCGTCGAGCCCGTCATGCCCATGATGCCCATGATGACCCAGCTCCAGCCCCCCGAACAAGGTAGGCTAACACCCTTCCCGGTCCACCAACTCAGTTCCTCCATGTCCGTCTCCGAGACTGACGTGGACTCGGGGATCGGCGACAACGACGACAGCCGCTCCATCAACTGGGGTAGCGTGCTCTCTCTGAGCAGCCAATCGCCCCTCGACCCCCTCAACAACAACGAGCTCCTGGACGTCGACATCGGCCCCGAGCTCGATCTCGACTTTATGCCCGGCTGGAAGCTCACCAGCGCGACGACCACGTCGAACACGACGACGACGAACTCGACGACGCAGCATCAGTTGACGACGACGACGACGACGACGGCAACGACGACGCAGCTGCAGCAGCACCATCACCAGACGATGGACGAGCATCAGCTCCAGAGTTCGGTCGTGAGCAGCAGCAATCACCACCACCACCACCACCACAGTCTGACGACGATCGGCAGCAACGGTGGCAGCAGCAGCACGACGCACGAGTCGCTCATGTGCGTTGGCTCATAGCCCCCGACGATACTCACGTCGTTGAGTCACCTCATCGACTTTTACCCCCTCGCACCTTAAGGGACACAGGCTCCGTGTGATATACATAATTATCGTGATGATTGCTACGACAATGACGCAGTTGTTGTCGTCGACGTAAATAGATAACGAAGGTTGCAAGTCGGTAGTAAAAAAGGGAGAGAGACACGAGGGGGGGGGGGGCAACTGATAATGCGAGCGCGTGTTATTGTTAATGTTGATGTTGATGTTGATATTTGTTACGAGACCGTCCACGATATGTGCAGCGTATATATTATATTATATAGGCATTGTTTCGAGGGCGCCATGACGCGCCCCCGTCCCAGTATAATATTATGGTGATGCAGGTATCGGCCGTTGTCCGACCCGTGTGTCCGGGCGATCCTCTATCTCTCTCTCCCCTCGTCGTCTACTTCGTTTCTCCCGAGGCCTTCGCGCGACAGCGTCCGGACGCTCCGTTGGGGGGGGGGGAGGGGGCTAAGATTCGCCGCTGTTCCACACCCTGGCGAAATTTTCACACGAGTTTTGTACATATTATATGGCTCTCCCGGACGTGAGAGGAAGCCCAGGCGAGGCGCCGGCCCGGGAGCACTAAAAGGCCGAGCTTATCCGAGCGGGCGTTGTACCGCAAGGGACGCCAAACCGGCGGATCGACCGCGCGATATCCTCGTCGTACGTGCGACCACACACGTAAAAGCGAACGCTCGTTTTTAATGCACACGTAAACAGTATATGTATATATACATAACACATGAATACACATGTATGAATATATACGTACAGATATTTATTAATTGTTCGTGTCAATTAAAAAACACACGCAGCTCCGATAGTTCTTACCGCGACGATCCTTCCTAGATTTGTTTCTGCGATGGTCTCTTGTACTTTATGACTGAACGAGAGTGATTGAGCGAGAGAATGCATGCAGTCCCAAGGGAAACACCGATTCTTCTCCACACCGATCATGTACATATATTTTACAACTTTTTTTTTTTTTTTTTTTTTTTTATCAGTTATATCGTTTTCAAAGCTCCTCTTCGATCGGCGTTTTTTCGAATCGCGCGGCGTTCGGGCGAATATAAATATATACACATACCCACCTCGGGGCTCTCAACGTGAAACTCGCCCCCGGGCCGGCGATGCGTTATCACATCCTCTTGGTACATCATCGTCGTGTGCGTAAATAATCGACATCGCTCGCCTAGCCGGCGAACGTTGGGAGCCCCGTCGCTTTTCGATGATTAGGTTATCATCGCGGCGTTCGGGTGGAAAGCAACGCGCGAGATATATACGTCTTGTGATTATTAACATTAATCTCCTGATTTTTTCTTTTTTTCTTTTTTTTTTTTTTTTTTTACTTTTTATTCCCCTCGTACTATAGCTAATTGTAAAACACACGCGATACTTCCCGACGAACAGAGATGGCTTCTTGCGGAGTCTCAGCCCCAAGGATCATTTTATTTTTATGTTTTTACGTACAAAGTTTTTGTATTCACATATACAAAATACGAATATTTTTTTATTGTTTTCGAACAACCCACATAGAGCAACGAATCGATGTGACGTGAATTTCGAGTCTCCGCAAGATTCGTGTACACTTTGCACCTCGTAACGATAAAGATAGACGAAAGGCATGGTGCTAGGAAGTCTTGCCCTGGTGCTGCGTGAAAAAAAAAAAAAAAAAAAACTTTTGTCCATACACAAGTCCGTATGTATGTTACAAATGTACATATGTGGAAAAAAAAAAAAAAGTATAAGGATGTCGTTAAAGTTTCTTCTTTTCCATCTCGTTTACCGCTACCGATCCTTTCGGTACTTTGTTTTGTCATTCGTACGAGATGTACATATGTACATACATCGATTGTTTTTATGGTTAAATGAGACATTTCTCGTACCCCGAGGAAGTGCAAGGGAGTGGACGCGAGAGCAAAATCCTCGGCGAATAATTGATCTCACGCAGCCGGAACGAAAAAAAATTGTCTCGCGCGCTTGATCCCTCGCGTCCGCCAAACTCTTTCGCGTGCATTTTCACAGACTACTCGCCCTGATTTACTTAAACTCGATGTGATTTCTAACGAATTTCCTTTTTACCTTCTTTTATTTACTCGCATCAGCCGAACTGAACGTATTTCATATACTTAACAAAATGCACCGATGGCCAAGTTTGAGACGCGTATCCTTACCGGCACACGAAACACATTCGCACACACGTCGGATCGACATTTTATTTTTCAACCAGTGAAGAAAAAAAAGCAAAAACACCGAGAGATAATCGTCTCACCGTATCCACACATGTATACGCTTCCACAACCAGACACACACTCGAGTAATGATAATCTTCCGCGACCCGACAAATGCGAGGACTTTACGAAAGGACAACAAGAACAGGACGCTCTCTTTCTCCCGACGTTGTGTCGGTGCGTAGAGCAATATTAAGTACATATGAAAAAAAAAGCGTCGCTTTTGTGGCAAGAGTCTTTGCACCCTCGACTCCCGCAAGGAGATGTATATCCTGTGTAGGTCGCCGCTAGGCTTCCAAGAGATCGGGTCGTCATCGTGTCAGTTTGGCACTGAAAACTCGTGTACGAAAGCTCACGTGTATGCGCGCGAAAACCTAGCAATACTCAAGCAAAAAAAAAATAGAGAGACGGACAGAAGGAAGAATCGTCGTCAATAAAGCGAATGTGTGTGTGTGTTTGCGTTCGTGTATTACGTGCGCTAGACGCATAAAAAATCCAATCGGCACAAAAGAAGACGTATTAATATTGTTGTAAATGCGTAACAATAAGTTTTCGTGTAAAATGTAAGAGCGAAAAATGGCGAGCGTTCGTGATGTGTCTTTTTTTTTTTTTTTTTTTTTTTTTTTTTTTTTTTTTTTTTTTTTTTTTTTTTTTTTT